GGTTTATTAGCAACCTTTCACAGATGTGCCTTCCCATTAGCCTGGTGTAAACCAACCCGCAGCAGGAGGGGACAAGTCACCTCAAACAAGGTTCAACTTTCTGCCTGTTTAATCTTCATCTCATTGGCAGGCTTCTGAATCTTAATTTAATTATAGATCCTTAAATGTTTTCTGATATCGTATCCGAATCTCTCTGGTCTATGTTTTTTTTATGGTTTCTTTTTTGTCATGGGACAGAGGACTAGATCATTTTTTCCAGTGTCCATTAAAAATCCCCCTGCCTGCAGTGCAGTATGCTCTATAAAAGAGATGAACCTGCTGCAAGGGAAAGAAGCTGATGCTGCACAGTCTTTTTAGAGCAACAACAATCTTTATAGATTATTTTTTCCAAGCATCATGAATCTCCTTCAAAGTCACCAGTGACTGTTATCAATTAATATAGTTAACAGTCTCATTTTCCATTCCCATCCAGGCCAGGCTCAGGTGTGTGCTCACCCCGGCAGAGGTGTGAGAGCTTTGCCTTTCAGAGATAAGATGTTACCTGGTGTGTGATGGGGGTGCTCAGGGAGGGGTGATTGGGGAGCAGAAAAACATGTTAAAGAGCAGCTCCTGAAGCCTTCTTGTGTTCTGAATTTACAGTCTCAGGCTGGCAGTCGTATAAATGAGTGATGCTCTCTGATGTTCTCTTCCAAGCCGGCTACGGAATTGGCAGGGAGTCTTCAGTTTTGTGCTGATGTGTCCAGAATTCAAATAATTTCATTCTTGGTTATAATGACAATTGGAGGCAGAGTATTACCTTGAGAAAAAGAGAGGGGAGAGACAGCTTCTGTATCCTGTATTGAATTAAGAACCGATTCCCATTTACTCTCTCCTCTGAAAACTCTATTATGCAGGGTTCTTATTGCCCTTATTCAAGGGCATGGAATTAAAAAAGTGATATCGATGGTAATGCTCTCATCTTCCCACCATGGCATTGAATAATGGGGACAGAGACAGGAAATCTTGAAGGATGATATGCCTTTTAAAATACTGCTGGTATGGAAAACATATAAAGGATAATGCATCTGAATATCAGCTGATGAAGTCATGCTCAGATTTTTGTGCTTTTTGCTTATGGCTTTAAATCATCTTTGCTTTTATTTTTCACCGTTATTTTTGGAACCTTTTATTTTCTTGTTATTCCAGAAGAGAGTTCTCGCTGTAAGGAACATACCTGAGATGAGTACCTGAGATGGTGATGTGTTGTCTGCACTAATTCTGAAATAAATCTGTTCCCTGGATTTGGAAAGCAAGACTTCAGAATCTGATGGGGGAAAGCCCACCAATAGACTGGTATAATTACTGCTCAAGTGCAGGCTCTTCCCCTGGCACAAGTTGTTGTTTTCCACTTCAGCTTAAGCCCTTTCTGGAGTTACACAGACTAGATAAAACTGGTGGTCTTAAAATAAATATACCCACTGAGGACCCTGCAGCATCCTCCTTCACAAATACATTCATTTAGGTTTAAAAATGTCTGTTCCTGTGTAAATGATGCCTGATGCAAAATAATGAGTGCATTTCCATTTGGGAGTTTTAAATTATATTTTACAGAATAAGTGATAATATCTACATCCTACAGACAGGCAACTGAGAAGCAGAGTGTTTAACTACCTTGCCAAACGTTACAGAGGAGGTGGGAGCTTTCTGAGGTGGGAACAAAGCGTGGATCTTGCTTTTATTAGTGCAAAACTACAAAGCCTCCCTGAACTATTGACACTCCTACCTAATCTCAACCCAGATGATAACGAGGCCCCTTACAATAAATTTTTAGTCAAATCTCTCTGCGAGGTGCACTCACAGAAATCAGCTCTGCAGCATGCCTGAGGATGGTTAAAATTGCACTGGAAAGGATTTAGGGAGCAAGTGTCAAAACTCTTACCTGGAAGGGCAGCAGTTGATTCTGCCTGACCACATCTAGGCTCTCATTAGAGCTGGTTACACCATCGTGCTCTGTGAGATCAGGATGTGGCTCAAAACCTCTCTTCCCAGCAAGGCTGAAAAGTCAAAACCACGGTTTACTTTGTCAAAGGGAAGCTCACTGCCCCTCACAGAGTCAGGGCTATCAGCAGGTGGCTACCTGTCATCTGAAACACGTGGCCTTTGCTTGGAGGTCCTTCAGCTGGCGGTGCTGTGGGGTGGAGCAGAGTCCCAGTCTCCTCCACATACACCCCTTTGATACCTGTTTGTCTCCATCACTAGCATGTCACCACTGGACAACCAGCTTCATAGCTCTTTGCCATCACCAGCAACCTCTTCTTGCCATGAACAAGTAGGGGTTTGTGCAGGCAGAAGCACTCCTCTGCCCTGCTTCTACACCAGCGCTGGTGAGGTCTGGTTTTGGGGGGAAGGAAAGGGGGTAGAAGAAGAGGGGCTCTAAGAGGGACACCAAGATGACCTGGAAAGCTTTAAAGCCATCTTGCCATGAAGCTCTTGGTGACACAGACCTCACCGTGTGTGTGTGCTCCCATGCACTGACCTGAAGGACGATTGTGCTCCCCCACACAGCCTCAGCACCATGCTTTACGTCTCCATCCAGATGTGTAAGCTAACAGGGATGGGGAGACCATTTCCAGCTGCACTGAACAGTTCCAAGGAGGCACTGAAGGTGAAGAGGGATGAGAGCTGCATTTTCCCTGGCTACATAGCTTTCTTGCCTGGGCTGGCAGGGATATATTTTAGACTAAGAATTATAATTATGATTCTCTGCCTGTGGCCTCCAGAGGTCAGCAGATCGCTTGAGAAGAGCTAAATCACAGCACACTCAAACTGCTTTTCCAGCATTACGTATAGTTTCCAATTTCAGAGGCAATAAGATTTAAAGGTTTTGTCCCCAACACTAGTTGTGACAACAGAAGCAAGGAAAGAAGAGCTCTCAGGATATCCACTGTAAAATGGAAAGTGTTGTCACTGGTCTGTGCTGCCACTTGGATGTGAGATTCCTTAGGTGACAAGTTCATTGAAAATCATCAGACAAATAGATATCCATATGCTTGGGTGCTGTTCCTGATGTGTTAGTACAGATGGGGTGAACAGATGTGCCAAACAGCTTCTGAGTGGACTGTCAGACTTGTTCAGCTCTGTTAGAAGCTTTATTTTTTTTTTATTACGTTTGAACACAACTTGCAGTTCCACTGACACTCTCAAAAAGGATAACGTAGAACTAGAAAACATATAGAGATGAGGAACAGAGATTATCAAAGGTCTGAACCAGCTTTCATGCAAGAAGGAGCTTAGACTATTCATCTCAAAAAAAAATAAGTTGGAGGGAATATGATATAGAATCATAGAGTCATTTAGATTGGAAAACACTTTTGAGATCATCAATTCCAACTGTGCCCCCAGCAGTGCCAGGTCCCCACTGCCCCGTGTCCCTCACCCCACATCTCCACGGCTTGGAAACCCCTCCAGGGGTGGGGACTCCACCACTGCCCTGGGCAGCCTGGCACAGCCCTGGGCAACCCTCCAGGGCAAGAAATTGTTCCTCAGGGACAACTGAAACCTCCCCTGGGGCAACTTGAGGCCATTTCCTCTTGTCCTGTCACTTGTTGCTTGGGAGAAGAGATGGGGAAGACTTTCATGAGCTGTAGAGAGCAGCAAGGTCTCTCCATCTTTAAAGTCAAGAACAGTACAAATCAAGGTGATAGGAAATGACCATTCATTCCCTCTCACAATACGGTTGTCAACACTGAGTCACAGGTTTCAGAATAAACACAGCAGAGTTAAACTGTGAAAATCTTTGCTTTGGGAAAGCTCCATGTGGAGGCCACTCCCTGCTTGCCTGCTCTGCTTGTGTCCATGGGAGTAAGATACCAGAGGTCCACCTTTGCCTGGGCAGGTGTGCTTCTCATGTTCTGAGTATTGCTACAATGCTGAGAATCTTCCTTTGGCTTAACAAGCAAGTGACAACAGTCTTTGCAGAAAAGGCTCTGAACTTAATTCTTTCTAAATCCTAGCAAGTCTTGATTGGCTCTAGTGGGATTATACTGGATTCAATAATCCAGAGTAAAACCAGGACCATTTACCTTTCTAGGAGACCCTAATCTTACAGGATCTACTCTGAGATTAGATAACCTCTGTCATAGGTTATCTCAGACACAGACAAAGTGTAGAGAGCCTGCTACAAAACATAAAATAAACAGTACAAACAAAAAATCCACCCCAACTAAAAAAAAAAAAATAACAACACTCAAACCTTCTGTTATTTTTATTAAAGCTGCAGAGTCTTACTACACACAACAAATATTTTATTGATAGAATCTAAGTTAATAAAATAGTTGAACAACTCTTTAGATTTATATTTGTATAGAAATGATCTGTGGAACGTCTCCTCTCGAAACAGCAGTGCCAACTATTCA